GTAAGAGAGGAAAATACACTTCGAAACTTTTTGCTTGTACCAAAACAACATCAAATATAAAAAGAGAACATATTACAAAAGTATCCTGAAATAAGAAAATGATATAAGAAGCATCGAAACAGCATTAAGGAAAAAATATGGAAGGAAAAGTAATCGAAGATGAAGTGAGTATATAATGCAAATATGAATGCAGATGCAGTTGCAGATTGCGTTGAAAATTCGTTAGAAACGTCAATATGTTACGCGAAGAGATTTTGACTCCTTTAAATTGCTTGAAATGGGAGATGAAAATATGAAAGACTTTGCGATTTGTTCCTTTTAATTCCATAAAGAAGTTTCTGAAACTAAAGTGACATAATAAATTTTTTTTTGAAATAAACTTTTTTGTGTAAATTTAACAGTTAAACAAAATTTTGCCAAATAAGTTTATTTTGGAGTTAATAAGATAATATGTTTATAGTTTTTACTGATGTTATTTCAATCCCACCACTTTAGTTAAATGCAGAATTTAAAGTGTTTCGTCTTATTTTTTACTTTGAAACATTGAAGGCACTGGTGCTGGTGTATATGGACCCAACACCAGAATTTCGGAGGCAATGGGTTAATTTCTTACTTTAAAACATTGAAGGCACTAATGCTGGTGTATATGGACCCAACACCAGAATTTCGGAGGCAATGTGTCTCCGCTGAGTGTTTTCCAAGCTGAAATCCACGCAATCAACTTATGCGTAAGATTCAATTTAATCAAAAAATCTTCTGGCTCAAGAATTGTTATTTACTCTGACAGCCAGACAGCTCTTAAAGCTCCTTTTTCTTTCAATGCCTAATACAAAATGTACGTGCATTGGGCGAGTCGGTTATTTAATATAATATAATTCTATCTTAATAATCATCTTTTTGAAAACTAATAGAAAGCCTAACTTAATTTGACAGTTTATAATAAGCCAATAGAGCTAGCTATGGAATTCACAAGTCCAGGAACACAAATAACTACTAGTAGAGTTTTAAAAAAAGAAAGAAAGGAAAATTTTGCTTAAAATTCAATTGGTTCAAAAATTAATTCAAAGGTCAAAACTCAATTTACTTTATAACGGTAAAATTCATATCAGCGATGAGATTACTTTTATCTCCGCGGCATTGTCTATAAGTTAAATAGTGTATATGGTATGAGATATAATTCATAAGATTTATAAGATCCATAAGATAATGATACACATTACACAATTCTCAGTTTGGTGCAATTTATGGCCTGTTGGCATTATTAGGTCATCTTTAAATCTAATAAAATCTAAGCTTCACCGTTAATAGTGCCGAATATCCAGTTATCATAAACAATTTCTAGTTTTTGAGTCTAGAATGTTTTTGGTTTTCATACGATTGTGTTATTTGTCATATTTTAAGGACAATCATCTACTTATTGTAGAGAAAAATAACATATTTTATTCACTGCTTGATTATGGCAGAAAATTATTTACTTACTTACCTGTTTGCCAATAACAACCCGCTACCGAATTTTGACTTGGCGCAACATGTTTCTCCAGGCGTTTCAGCTGTGGCGTCTATGCGTAGGTGGTGGAATTTTAATAACATCATTTTCGATTTGGGAGTTCGAGAACATTTTTTTAAAGAAGGAATTGACATTATCATCGCCAGACAGTAGTTTGGAGAAATATTTCTTTCATACTTTCAGTACACTTTCTGTATCCGTAATGAGATTACCATTTTCGTTTTTATAGGTTAATGCTCCAGGCTTAAAGGTTTGAGTCAGACAGTTGACTTTTTAATCAAATTGACGGGTTCATTTATGTTTCTTCATACCTCGTTTTTTTCTCGTTAGCGCCTTTCCTGATTTCGTTTCTTCCATATGAATAGGTACCTTTCTAACTTTCTCATTTTCCGATATTGTTTACGGATGGTTTGCGTAGCTGCGGATTTCAGAGTTCTTTTATAGGCCGCGTTCTTTGCAGTTGAAGTTCAGCGACACTAAAACATGTACCTCAGCCACCATATATTCATTTGGTTTGACTCCCTGAGCTATCTTCTTGGGGTACGTACCAAGAAGCGTACGCTGTGGTACGCGTTTCAGTAGGTATGAAGAGATATTAATAAAATCAATGATAGTTCTGATGGCTGTCCTAAAGTCTAACAAAACAATAAATGTATAGTACATGTATACTATACAGTATGTATACATATATACTGTTCAAGTTATGCTTCAAAATTATTGAAAAATAGTTCTAGAATATAGCTCTTTCTTCTATTATTATATTTAAGTTCAATTTTACTTCCATTAAGTGCATGTTTAAGTGATTTAACATGGAAGCCACGATTGCTTTATTTAGTAAAGCACACATATAATATAAACACTCTACCTCTTCTGAATTTCAATAAGAATCTTTGATTTAGGTTAATTGCACTCCAAAGCAAATTGAATTTGTTCTCTATTTGTTCTTTTGTTTAAATTTTACTAGTATTAGTAGAAGAACAATCCATCAAACCTTAAACTTCAGTTACAGAAACAACAGCAATAGTTATTGTTGCAGCAATAGCAAATATTCCGAACTGAAAAGGAGATTTTGAACAATGTGGATTTTGCATTATAAACACAAGGAGCAGCGTATCAAAGCAAATGCCACACCAGCAACTGGCAACAAAGTCAAATTAATATTGCGCAAGCTGGCCAGCTCCATGCGAACATACAAATGGATACACTTTAGGTTACATATTCACTAAGGAAGCAACCGCAACTCTAAGACAGCATCGCACTGTTCAGAGTTTCTTTGTTGCTGGAGAGCACCAATATCTCGTACACCCGCAAGAGTAGCACCGGCGTTGCACTGTGTGTACACTAATTTCATTTGGTTACTTCATGCTGTCCAATTTAGCACACTGGGAACGTCTTTTGTAATTTAGAATTCCAAGTGTCAACTGACAAAATCAAACAATAGTTTCCTTTACCGAGTCCATTACAACTCAGTTATATACAAGTAATTTTATAACATAAAAGGGTGTAAATTGCAGCAAAATTAGCCGTTATTGTAGCGAGAGTCGCTTCTAATGGTACCTTAAAGTACCAATCATTGCAAAAGTCCTTTCAAAACTTTCACTGTTCCCATGCGATGCATAACTTAAGTTCCAGCAAAAAGCATAATGGTCGTTCAAAAGAAGTCAATATTAAATATTTAAAATGATGAAACCAGAGTTTAATTATTCCTATTCAAATTGTTTCCTTATTCACATTTGCGATATTTTTTTTAAATAAAAATAAATTATATAGGATTTCAATTCAAACAGAAATGAATTTAATGAAAGCACTACGAAAACTCCACTATTTTTCTTGTAAAAAATCATATTGTTAGCATTGTGTCTATATCATTCTGTCAATCATTTTGATCTTTCCTACTTTGGGGAGTATTTTGTAGCCACAGGAATGTCGAAGATACTTTTTAACTCGTATTTTCTTTGACAACCCTTATTTCAGTTAACATAAAAAATTAATCATCCAACATGCGACTTTTTTATTCTTGGATTAAGGAGTCATTTCTTACATGCAAGCTATCTTCACAACCCACTCTTATTATGTACAAATGTAGGTCATTCTTTTACAAATAGGACGAATTTTGGCAAAATATGACCTCATTACCAGCAAATTGCTTACATTTTTTTTTATAAGCTACTTTCATCATATTAGAAGACCCGTGTCTCGGGATAAAGTTTTGAAATTTTTTTTCTAAGAGATATGGACCCCATGGATCGATCCATGAGTGTTAAGAATTGGCATTGTAGACACATTTTTAAATGGTCATATCTCAGGTTCTATAAATGAGAGAAATTTGAAATTCATATCTTTTTAAAGATAATTCATTGAACTTTTAAGAAATTGTTTAAATAATTAAGATTGTTTATACTTAAGCACTAATTTGAATCGTTAAATTTGAAAAAAAATGTATCCCGCGAATTTTGAGTTTTTTATATTTTATATAGTTTCAGTATTAAATTTTTTGGGAAATAAAAATTTTCAGGACGGCATTATTTTTTTGAATTTTTTGAAATTTATTTTCTTCCGCGAAACACATTAAGCACGTGTATACTATATTTCCAATAAATGAATCCGGTTCGTGTTAATTGAACAAGAGATAGCCAGGTTCCTTTTTGAATACCGCGGTGTGGAAATTTGGTACTACACGCTATCATGTTTCGCGCCACAGCGAAATCAATTAACATCAGACCGTCGTTGAAGGTTGATTCATGATTCTGTCCACGCTGACGTCAGCCTTACAAACGGTTCTGGACATTCCAGGTGCATATCCGTAAATCATTGTCCTTTAAGCGCTTGCATTGGTCGTCAACGTTAATCGATTTTCAGTTCTGAGGCGTTTTTGCGTCCTTCATTGGCGGCTGATTTTACGTCACGGATTCTAAAACCAGCGCATAACCAGCGCATAATTTAAAATTCTGAGAGTAGGACACGCTGTACCCACTACTGGTTCATTATCCAGCGGGTGCCAGGTAACTATCGAGGGATACCACGTGGAGGCTGTGCGGCAACTTGGAGAGACAAGGACAATGGTTGCGCCGGCATTTTCCATGTTAAATGCAATCAGACACCTTGCCTTGCCTTGTGTACTCGCTTTCAGGGGCTAGCGGGCCACTCCATACTATAATACCATTAAATTAATTAATCCAGAAAAAACGATACAAAAATGTTTACTTTTTATTCCTGAATTGAATTTATCATTAAATTCTACTTAAAATAGAAGGAGGCTTTTAGGGGGTTTTTGTTGTAAGAAGTATTTTTATTATACATCATTTTTATTTTTAAGTCGTGAAGTTCTTAGGATATATTTGAATCCAACTTTGTAAAAATTCATGATTGCCATATAGTAAATAACACTGACCAAAAAAGGATCAAGTGTCAATTGATATTATTTTCAATAGAATATATTTTAAAATAATAGTAAGCAAATGGATATGAAAAAATATGATATCTCTAATTTCAAAGAAAAAAATGGTATATATTTTTATCTGGAACACTGGAATTGTGGAATTGTATGTTTCCAGTTTGTTTCTTTGGACTTCACAGTAAAAATTTATAAAAGTTTTATGTAAGTAACATTATTTAATAAAGTGTGTGATATTTTCAAAATATATGAAATTTATATAAATTATATATGTATATCGACATGTTATTGGGAAATAACTGTTGAAAACACATTTCTTCATATCTGTCATTGTGTGCAGAATTTAATGTCTATAATCTTCTGCTCACATCTTTTGGGAATTATTGTAATGAACTTGTAGGATGAGAAACTGACTTCAATATCTAAAAACAAAAACATATGCAATTATCATTTTAGTACCTTTTTTATTTAGGAGATGATGTTCACAAATCTAAAAGTTCTGTACGGATGAACCAGCTCTTTAGCCTAATGGTTACCTAGAATGTTGCGCTAGTAGCGACTTCTTTCGGTTGAAAACCATTTTTCTATCAGAGACCTAGTTGTAAACCAACTTAATTCACAATATGGCTCTAGTCTACAGAGTCTGGTAGTCAGTTAGTATTGTTACTTATTTCTTTTAGAATGGAATGCTTTTAAACCTAAACTTTTTGTAGCTACGGTATTAGGTAAACCCTGTCTTTTTTGTAAGTGTTCTGAATTAAGCAGTTCTACCTCCTATCTGCTTTGTTTCTGTATGGCACATGAGCGACACCGCCTCAATATTTTAGGGGCTTTTTTTTGAGGATCAAGACCTTCCTCTAAATAGCATCATAAGTTTCGCCAAAGGTTCTAGATGGTTTTAGCCTTTAAGTTTTTAATAAGACGGTAGCACAATGGGCATATAGCCTTAAGTGGATCCTCTTGAGATCGTCGGTATAACCTAGTCTATTATACAGATTGATTGTTAAATATCTGGACTTTAAAATCGTAAATTTTTACATGGATTACGCAAACAGATTTTCCTGCAAACTGCCGGTAGGTATAGTTATTTGTGTGTTCAATATAAAAATTTTGATATTGGAACTGTATAAAAACACGAGTGTAGGTAAGTGGTTGATATTACTCTAAATGACAAACTTAAGAAAAACTTTTCACTAAATATTTGCGTTTCAAGAATCTCAATCATTTCTCAAAGTAATATTAAAGTAAGTTAAATAAAAGAACTGACCAGTAATGAGCAAAATTTTGGATAAATATTCCATTCGACCAAGCATCGAAATTTTATTTCAGTTTTTTGTGTAGATATTTGGAAAATAGACTTTATAACGATTGTCAAACACAACTTGGTACAACTACCAAGTTTTTTTTTTTCTTCAAACTCTTTTCTTGCTCTTTGACGGGAGTTTTGTGCCGCGATGATAACATGCGATAATGTATTATCGCGGAAGAAGAACTAACGTTTAAGCTTTCAATATTCTGGTCGAATTCGTAAAATTTTACTTCAGAATCATTTTAGAACTACTTAATATGTGTAATATTTTGTAGTCACCGCTTAAACTTTATGGCAAGTAATTGAAAACAGATCCTTTTGATGAAAAAAAATTGACACTCTTTTAAAGTGAATGATTTCCTACTTTTGGATTTGTGACTTTTCTGGTGATTTCCATGCCACAATTCAATTTTTTGGTTCATATTGATATCACATTTTCTTACCAATTACAATTTCTGACATGCTTAGGGGATTTCTCCGGAGTGTTTTTAACATGTGTTGGCAATGCTAAACTCCTCTGCGCCAGACTGTGAGAGACATTTCAAAATCTTCCGTCAAAACTCGATGGGATTAAGGTTTGAGAGTGAGGACATAAAGAAAATGTAATTATACTGGAAGCAATTATTCATAAAGAATAATTATGCTCTAAGGATTACTGTAGTATATATCCATACATATCCATAACGTATTAATTATTTGAATATTTATCTTCGCCCATTACTAACACTAGCAGAATGATAGCATTCACGTAACTACAACACAATAAAAAAAATTAATAATGAGAAGCAATTTAATAAAGTCAACAGATTATATTTGATTTGTGACAAAATAACTGTAATTGATTTTTAAGGAGGAATACCAAGTTCAAGTGAACACAAGGATTCTCTCCTTCACCTGACCACAAATTCATTTTACTGATCCAGAATACGCTCAAGTTGAATCAATACTTCTAGGTATGAATTATTAAATATTAAATCAAATCACGGAACTAAATTTATTATATTTATTCTAATATCGTACTATACCTTTCCAGTAAAACTGAAATATGGATCCAGGATTCAAGTATTTCATCGTTGACAAGTAAGCTTTTTTTTAGAAATGACAAATTTTCTTAAATACAACATCGTTTCTTTCAAGAATTTTGGATATATTTATTTTGAAGCAGTTAAACTTTTTTGACGCAGAGTTGGTTTACAAATTTTTTGCTGATCTCGGTATCAATTGCACCCAAATTTATGCAGGCGATCAGGAGTTCTTCCAGTTTATTAATCTGCTTTGCTGCCTTGCTTTGCGTTAATCATCATGATTTTTGATTAAATAGTATTTGTTTGTCGTTATGTGACAATAAAAAAATCATCGGTTAACTAAAACACTCTTTTTATTTTATAAATATGACAATATTTATTATTTTATAACCAAACTATTTTAATAAAGTGTTCTTGCAGGCTAATTGGTCAAATTTTTTTTATTGTTTAAAATAAGTTTTGGATTATTATTGGACTTAGGTTGCTTAGTTGTTTTTTTTTTTGCAGTAAGTGAAAAGCATCAACAGCTACCGTGTGAAATTTAAACTACCTCTCAGGAATGCAAAAAGAATAGATTTTGAGCAGGGGACCGTGCAGGTCTTGGCTGGGAATCTCTTTCCAGAATACAGGCAAAGGAATGAAATAGAACATCAAAAAGCTTAACATTTGCGAAGTAAAGATATCTAACTGGGTTTAGAGGTGGGTAATTGTAAATGCAGTTAAAATAATTTGGTTAAATGTATTGTTTAAGAGTAAACTCTATCTAGGGGTTTACTGCAACTGCGATTATACATGGGCAATGTCGTCTAAATCGAAGGCTAGGAACTGGGGAGGCTTGTGCCGCATAGAGAGTAGTAGAATAGAGTGCAGGTGATCAGTGCGCAGTTTGTCGGTTGCAAAATGTTGTGGCACCTGGTAAAGTATTGAAGAGCTTAGGATAACATAAAGTTATCTAACCGCTCGATATTGACAGTATTATAGACACAACAATTGAGATAGTGTTTCCCATCAGATTTGCGTCTGTTACTTTTACAGTCACGAAGTATTTTTCCTTTAAATACGTGAAGATGTTCCATCTGAGCAGAAGAAATACCAGACCATATGTGAAAGGAATAAGTAAAAAGGGTTGATTGTGACGCCGTATAAAGATTTTAAGGTTCATATGACGAAAAAAAGCATTTTTAAAGGAGAATATAAGTACAAGATAATTAAATTTGTCAATAAATTTGTCGGATGACCTATTAACTTTAAGTTTTTTATCAGAGGCCTTGCAAGTGCTGGGACAATCACGGAAACTATCCGTAAAGACAACAGCTGAAAATTTTAGTGGATTCAGTTTTAGTTTCCATGTTTGGTAGTAATTGGACGAGGACCTTAAATGTTGGTTGTGGTAATTACGAAGTGAAGATAATAGAAAGAAATATTCTAAGTGCTGGGTTTTTCTACTTAAGGAAAAATTGTATCTTTTAACCATTTTAACCATCTTTTTTGCGACAACATTAAAGTAATTAAAATACAGTCCACTAAAATTAAGCGATAATAGATAAAAAAATATTTCAATCCATATTTTAGTTAAGTTAGTTTTAGGAAAATTTTGTATTTAAGTAGGAGAGTTTTAAAAATAAAATTAATATCAACCAAATATTCACTCCGTAAATTCACACAGTTTCTGAATATTTATTTTAAGAATAATATCAAATGACAACTTATACTGAAAAACTATAAACAAGTAAATATAGAGAATTAAACTAATAGAAATACTTCCAAAGACCGCCGGTAGCGTATACATGACAGTAGGAGATAATGGGCCCGATTTCTACAAATCATACACTATAAGAACACTGCCAAAAAAATATTTCTAATATAATGTATCTCTTTGGCACAATTTTGTTTATTGAAGATCATTGATGACGGCTGTTTAGTGGTGTCTAAAACAGTTGTATGGTCTGTCTAAGAATTCGCTTAATTAAACATTAAAGTTTTTAATTTGAACCTTCTGATTAATAACTTTTCTATTCAAAATACAGCTTCTGTCAAAGGACTTGAAAATATTAGTCTAAATCTTAAACATTTGTAAAAGATATAAAAATTCAAATATATTGTTTTTTACTACATTATCAGGCCAAAAGTTGGTGCTACCTTCTGCTCAAAAAGTATTCGGATTTTGTTCTTTGTTAACTACTCCTTAAGTAATAGACCTTTTTTTTTTGTTATGTTAATACACCCTTGACATTTGGTGCAACTTTGAGCGCCATCTGTCAATTAGTTTGTTTACAGTAGCTGTTAATGTGAGGCTACCTCAAGTGCATTTAGCTATGTTTACTATGGAAAATTCTTGTTGTACGCGATTTTTTGACCAAACACGGCTGTCAACACCACTGTCATCGCTTAGGCACCATATTCGCCAGATCTGGATCCGTGCGACTTTTTCCTGTTCCCGAAACTTAAATTGTCCCTTCGTGGTAAGCGTTTTGAGTCGATTGAATAGGTAAAAGAGAATTCGCTGAAGGAACTAAAAGCCATACCTGTACGGGCCGACGAAAAGTGTATGAAGATTGGGTTAAACGTTGGCATATGTGTATCAGAAATCCGGGTACTTTTTGAGCAGAAGGTAAATTAAAAAAAAAACTTGAATTTACTAAGAAATGAACAATTTTCTACTAGAAACTTAAATATAAATGAACTTCAAGAAAGCAGTGTAAAGCTTAAGATGAAGTATTCTGATTTGCCATACCCACCGTCATCTTTTATTTTTCGTATAATCTTATATTTTATTTTTATTATTGTTTTTCTTTAATTAAGTGTTAAATTTATTTATATTTTAAACACAAATATTAATAAAATATTTTTAAAAAAATGTTCATTTTGTTACATATTGTGCCAATCAAGTTCCATTATTTTCTACTCCCCATTAATTTTGCTATTTTCTTTAAGTAAAACGAAAACCGAAGTGCATATTTGTGCTAACCATAACCAAATTAATTAATAATTAACCAACAAATTACGAAATTGTTTGCCTAACAAGTTTCCTGCATGATTGATTTTTTAAATCAATATTATTGACAGGATAAAAGCCAGCAAAATTAGTTTTACATAATCTTTTGTTCGGAATTTGACATGTCCGTATACAAAAGATTCGTTTCGCTTGTCAAAGGTAAGTTTCTGATAGGCTCAGTTGTGCTGAGTTCTCGGAAAGCATGGCAAATATTTATTAGGACTATAAGTCTGAAAAGCGTTTATGGAAATAATTACCTTGGAAATGAGTTATGGTATTGACAAATAACATTACACAAAACGAAAAAAAAAATTAGTACTAATAAATACTAATAAATTTTTACATAAAAAATATATTTTAATATATATATCATTATAATTTATTAGATTATATTCTTAGAGTTTTTAATTTTATATATTGATAAAATGAATAAGTTAAATTTAAATATTTTTTCTTATTTAAATATTATATTCATTTATTGAGTATAATTTATTATAATTATATTTATTATTGAACATGCGATATTGTACTTATGTTTGCTAAATAAATGGTTATCCTTTTATGGTTTTGACTTTTCAGTAATCTTTTAATGGCATTCATCATAAAATAATTATTAAGAACAACATATGTGTCTTTTAAAGCTTACTATATTATAATATACCATAAGCTCATATAAATAACTCACTTCTTCTAAGTGCTTTATCTGCCTCAAACGTTGGCTAATATGTTTAATATTTTATCGATAACTTGGTAAAAAAGCAACAATATACTTTTACTATTTATCGACTTTATCAAGTCTTTAGGTATGATATCCATCGTATATTTTGTTTTTTGGGTGTCTCAAGATATGACAGAGCTGTTCTCAAGTCTTCGCTCTTTTACTGTTTCCAAAATTTCTGTTTCTTTTTTAAAGGATAAAATTACTATCGAATTTGTTACAAAGAATCTGTTGGATGGCAACAGATTCTTTACATCCATTCAACTCTTCTTGAGATTCAAGATCATTCATCAACGTAAAAGTTGGTGTCCTCGCTTCTTTACAATAAAAAAATAATCAGTATACGTACTCTCAATAATATAGTAAAAAATAGGTCTGGCGAACGTAACATGTTCTTTCTAATAAGAATTCATACTACATATATATAAAATTAAAAATTTTAACAAAAGTAATAAATATTAATTATAAATTTCAACAATATATTTATATATCAATTCAAATTAATTTTAACTATGAATTTTAGTCGTTTTTAATAAAAAGTTATAAATACTAATAATATTTATAATATTATTTTATTTATATATTCATTAATATTCATTAATTAAATAATTTAATCAAATAATAATAAAAAATAATTAAATTAAATAATATATATATTAAGTAATATTAAACAATAATGCATTTTTATATCCTTCAATTAAATTTCAGCTATAAATTTATTCAAAGTTTTAAAAAAATTTCTATAGAAGTAATAAAAATAATCACATTTTAAATAAAAATTTTTTAAATAAGAAATATTTATATTAATTATATTTATAAAAGTTTTTAAATGTATATAAAACTTAAATAAATATTTCAATTGCAAGTAATATTCTATATCTAAAATAATACATATTAGTTATATATTTCAATAAGAAATATATAACATAAGAAATATATATACAATAATTTATGTATATATATTAGTCAAAAAAGTTTTGAATTATAAATTTTTACTCTCTTTTATCAAAGTTTATATATTTTATGAACTCATTTAAGTTTTAAATAAAATTTTTTTAATTATAAATATACTAATTATATATTTCAATTATATATTTATATTTTAATTCACATAATTTTTAATTATAAATTTTTATCGTTTTTAATAAAAATTGATATGAAATTATAAAATATATTTTAATTTTTATATATATATTTTTAAATAATACAAATATATATTAGTTGAATATATCAATAATATATTTATATACACTCAAATCTAACCTATTTTAATAAAAAATTATAAACAATTTATTAAAACACATTAGTTTTAAATGAAATTCTTTTAATTATAATAAATTTAATATACTTTAAATAATAGTCAACTAATATGTTAATAAAACATTTATATAAAAATTAAAAAAGAAGTTACATTTTGAAATAAAAATATTTTATATAATAAAAAACAAATATTTACTATATTTAATAATTTTTATATAATATTTATTAATATTTATTTGTATATTAAATTTTATATCTGATCGTTTAAAAACCGTTGAAAATGCTGAAATAGTAAAAATTTGGTACAAAAATTTGGGATTCATTATTAGCAGATACATTTCGTGTATCATGAAAAGAGTATATTTAACATAATCGTCCATCTTAGCAGA